TTTGAACTGGTATTTGCAAGGGTGAATCTTATATTATTATCCATGGATTTTCCATTAATGCTGGCCATCCTAGCATATGCTTTGTATGCACGGATGGATGATAAACCATTTAATGCTTCCACAAATTGTGCATAAATAGGCGATCTAGTAATGGAGTCCAAGCGTTTTATTTCACAGGATGTGCTCTGTAAACAGCAAATAGCAGATATTTATCAAAATTTTTGCAGGAAAAAATAGGGATAATGGTGTGTCATAATCAAAGTAAAAGTGGTTAGATAATGATTCATATCAAAGGCTTAAAACAATAAAATACCTGATAATATAGATAGGCTGCGTAAAATAAGATAAGAAGGGGCAGTATAGCCCATAATGAAATTGTGCTCACAATGCCTATGAGGGCAAAAGTTGAAAGAAGCTGTCAGACCTGGCTGAGGAACATATTCATAAAATTGGCAACTTGCTGATCTACATCACCTATATCCTTTGAAAACCTATTTATTACACGTCCTATTGGATTGGTGTGAAAGAATAGCATTGGAGCTCTTAGGATTGAATTTAGCATGGCATCATGCAACCTTATTGCTGCACGAAGACTTGAGGTGATCAACCAAAAGGAGTTTGTCAACGTCACAGCTACCTGAATTCAGCAGATATTAAGTCAAACCATCTTCAATTATGTAAAATCTCCTCCTTTGTCTTATTTATCATCTTATTCTTAAAAACCTTTTCTACTACCCGTAATACTAGGAAAAAGAATTGCATTGGAAGGAAAGAGGAAATAGAAATAACTGTTCTTTTGAATTATAGTTGTTATTGAGTTATTGAGAAAATGAAATTCTAACTCTTCAATAACTGAAGATAATCAATCATTCAAAATTAGTACGGGATGGGATTCCTGATTCCATTACAGGATGTCTTGGTTTTTTAAATAAGCATCAAAGGAAACTATCTACTAACTGCAAACAAACCTGTCCAAAACCTAGAAGCGTATAAATGAGAATGTAGTATCCAGGTCCATAGTTCTTTGAAGTACTTTGATCTGTCCAGACCCTTAACCAGGTGCTACTTGAAATTCGAAGAACTTCAGTTGATAAATAGCATATAAAGAGTATCATAACAACCCACAGGCCTCCTAGTGCATCTTTATACCTGCAAGTAGAGGCTGTATTAACACATAATTTCATGACTTTCTATTTTTAATAATTTTCAATCTAAATGCAAAATATACCACACTCCATCTGGGTTTAGATTCCCTCCATAAAGAAGATGAATCAATGGTAAAAGATCATGATATGAAAAAAACGGTATGACATGATAGCTGTGAGTACTACAGTTAAAATAATATTCTACATTACCTCATCAAAACATTCCAGCTGACGACACCTGTTTCCCGTTCTTCTTGCTTGATAAGCACGGATTTCCTCCCTTTCCCCTTTTTTGCATTGTTTGGCAGATCATTCACCTCAGCAACCCCATTAGCAGCTTCTTTTGAGATTTTCTCGTCTGAGTTTTTTTCTTCGTTTTCTTTTCCTTGTTCATCCATTTCTTCCATTTTCCCTGCATTTTCCATCATTTTCTGGAACAGCTTGCCATTTTTTGAGAGCTCCTCAAATGTTCCCTCTTCTTTAACCATACCTTCAGAGACCAAAATAATTTGGTCCACGTGGGGAAGAAAATGCAACTGGTTGGTGATGAGTATCCTGGTTTTTCCTTGCAGCTCCTCCTTAATACATTTGTTGAAAACCTGGTACAGGCAGAAATCCCAAAAACTAATATCCATGAAGACTGCTAATTGAGCAAATTATACTAGGATCATGTAAAATGTATTGGGCACCACGATGTTGGTCAGAGTAGTCCTCTGGTGATCTTTCACCATTTAGCATGAATTAGTACCTGTCGTCCAATATGTGCATCTAGAGCACTTAAAGGGTCATCAAATATGTAGACATCCGAATTGGAATAGACAGCTCTTGCCATGGAAACTCTCTGCTTCTGCCCACCACTAATATTCACCCCTCTTTCACCAATCTCTGTGAGATCATGACCCTGAGGGATAAAGTGTCAGTATTGGAGCCATTCCACATTAAGCATGCTTAATTAAAAAGACACAAGCCATTAAATCCACTTACAGGGAGTAAGTCAAGATCATGCTGCAATTCAGTAACATCTATTGTCTTCCAATATCTTTCCCGTTCAAATCCAGATCCAAACAATATATCGTCACGGACCTGTGAGAACAGAGTGAAGGTCATAAGCATTCATGTTGATATGAAAATCTTCAAATACAATGGAGATTTGAACCAATGGATACAGAGGAAGCACTATTCCAGAGCCTTGAAACACTATGACTTACAGTAGCATTGAAAATTCATGAAAAACTTGAGCAACATAAACAACTGTTCCTCTAATAATGACACTTGCATCGGCCACAGGAGGCAGCTACCCTAGCATAGCCGATATAAGTGACGTTTTCCCTTCTCCAGTTCTACCAATAATTGCAACTAAGCTCCCAACTGGCACATCCAAATTGATGTTTGATAATGTAGGCTTCTCTGCCTGGAAAAAGCAAGCAATTTGAAATTTCTAATTACTACAAGAAAGAGGAGCATTCGGCTATAAAATTATGAACAATATTAAATGAACTAAAATTGAAATAGCTATTTTTAGCCAGGTGATTAACATTACAAATCAAAAGTATCAATTCAAGAGTGAAAGTAGAACTCAACCTTTGAATCCCACGAAAAATTGCCATTTTTTATTGAGATGCCCGGAAGACCAGGTTCAAGAGGTGGATTTGGCACTAGAGTTCTCTCTTCAGCTAAGAGTAGCTCCTCAAGACGTTGAAATGATACATTGGCATTTACAACCTGAAAAACTAAAGCATTAGATAGTAAAAAAGGAAGCAATTTGACACTGATCGAAATTTATTGATCATTTGAC